AAAAAAAATTTTTTTTTTATTTTTTATTACCCTTTTTTTTCCTTTATATTAATTTACTTTCCAAAATTCATTTATTGTCACTTTCTATAGGTCATATATATATTGTTTAAACTATAATTAATATTTCTGTCTATTTGTAAACAAATTAATATTTCTGTATATTTGTAAACAAAATTGCAACCTCCTTTCTTTTGAAACTTTAAATAATTGATTGAGGTTGGCTGGAAGTAGTTGCCAGACGCGGATTATACGGGTAAGGGTTTTACTAACCTATGTACGTATCCGCGTCTGGGAGGAAAGGAAAGGAAAGTGTATATCTACCACTACAAAAATATAATTCCAATTCACTAGTATATATAAGACATGTTAACTAGATTCTATCGTGGGGATACCTTTTCATAGATGAAGGTTGACATTATTGGCTTACATTAAAGTTGTTATTCCCACAAACTAAATTGAAAAAGTTTCAATTTGACTACTTTAATTTTGAAAGATGAGTGACACAAATGTTTAAATAAATGATCCAACACATTAGAAAAATATGATACATTTTTGATTATTCTAGAAATGAATTTTCTTTTCTAATATTGTTTTCTTCTTTACAGAATGACCGAAGAGATAAAAGAAGCTACACTAATTCTAGTCTGCAATATAGTAGTGACTTGTAATTGTTCTACTGCAATATTTTATTTGTGCCAATGAAGGACATTTTAGTTATTCTATTGTGTGAAGTAATTGTACATAAGAAACGTGGATGTTTTTTTATTTTTTATTTTTAAATAAATGTTTGTTCTTTTTTATGCATTAATACCTTCTTTTTTTTTAATGTATCAACTCACATTGCAAGTAATTTTAAAGTTAAGAATTTTGAATTAAATAGCATGCAATCACCGTTTCAAATTATGTTGTTTTTCAAGAAAAAGGATAAATTCGTTGCATTTTAATCTACAAGATAAGAAAGAAATCTGCATTTGTATCTTCTATAAGAAGTGTATCATAATTATTAGCAAGTTAACTTAAAATATATATATATATATAACATCGTTGCCGAGTGGAAGGATTAAAACAGGTTTTAGGCCGGAAAGGAGGGTACAAAATTTATTTATTAATTATTAGACAGTCATGAGAAAAGTGTAAAAAGTGTACATGAAAAGTTGCGCTCCTTGGTTATATGTTAGGGAAAATCTTGCAACGTAAAATCCGTAAAATGTTTCAATTTAGGGAAAGAGGGAAATCTTCGTAAATGCTATTGGTTTATGAAATAGATCGAGCGTTTCCCACAGAGAGCAAAGGGAAAAATGTCCTGCTTTTAATTAAATGCATGCTTGAGCCAAAAATAGATTTAAGAACAGGATGTGGCTTTTAAAAGTGTGAGAAAGTATTTCGAATTTTTCCCCAAAAATTTTGTTTTCTTTTATCTTTTCAAAATATTTCTTTTAATGAATTTAGAATAAAACGCATTTACTGAGTAAAATATTTTTCTGCAACACATTTTGTTTTTTACACAAAAATTCTTTTAGAAACAAAAAAAAACATTACATTTTAAATTGAAATGCAATGAAGAAAACCTGAACGTTTTATTTGTGATGTACATTTAGTTCTGCTTTTCCAAGCATTTTTCTCATAAAATGAAAATGGATCAATTATTTATAATTAATCACAGTGCACGCGATTCTTATACATAAGAGTTGAAATTGTGGTTGGTCAATTTTTATTTATCATTTAGGAAAATCGTATTTTTTCCTAATTGAAATAAATCTATCCATAGCATTACAGTAAACATGAAACCATAACGGCTCATATTAAAAATCAAATTTCTTGTTTATTTTGAATAATAGTTTCGTCAAAACTCAGTATTTAAGATTGTGTTTGAAATTGCACTTTTCTGTAACAAACTGTTTTTTTAATAAAGAAATTGTTTATTGAATTTGTGTCTTTAATAATGAATAATATTTGCATAATATCAAATGAGGAGTTCATTCATTATGGACAACATAATTTTGGAAAGTGTGACGAGATGTGAAATGAATGAAAGAAAATGATTTTTGGCTAAGCACCTTTTCAATATTTCTAAAACATGGCACTCAAGGGCTGGCTTCTCCATATAACTCATCTCTATCTATATATCACTCATATCCATCTATATATCACTCATCTATATCTTTTCTATATCTCTATCTATATATTACCCATATCTCTACCTATATCTCTTTTTAATCTATCTGTTAGTACAGCAAGGTGTTAGGACGACTTAAATTACCCTTTGTAGTATGGCTTTTGCAGTATGAATGAAAATAGTAAATAACAATAGATAACTTATGACACTATACATAACTAATCGAAAAATGTTTGTTGAAGAATTGGTAACTGAGAAAAAAACTAGTTTTTATTTTTTTTCTTCCAGGACATGGTTCTGAAGTTCTCCTACAAATGAAAATTTAATCTCAGTTTGTGTACGTTACGATACATTGGTATACACCAAACTTCACATTTTGAGTTTAATCGGATCCAGGCTGTGATTATTAACTTTTTCGGCTGGCACCCCATTGTCACCATTAATAATAAAAATATCTCACACACAACATGAATTAAATTCCACTGACATCTTTCGTTTTCATACACATCGCTTCTTCATTTTAAATTTAATATTTTGATGGTGTTTTTAAGAAATTAAAAACATCTTAAATGTTTAATCACTCTTTATTTCATTCTATTTATATTTTATTTTATTGAATAACCGTCGTTGAACAGCAGACCCCAATTTTATGGGTTTACGATTACTCATGCTCAACTCCGTAGCCGTGTCATTTTGAACCCATTCCAGAAGACAAAGGAACTACTGGATCGAGTATTGGGGAAAAAATTTGCCTTCGAGTAGGACTTTTTTTGATGCAGCTAGCCCGCATGTGCGTTACATAGAGAGGAAGACCACGAGAACCTCCCACGGTTAACCTGACGGTAAGGGGACTCTAACCCGTGATCCGTCTACCACTGAGAATATTTCACGTCAGCACTGCGGCTGACTGCAAGCCGGATGCGGAATTCGTATCGACTGGGATTCGAACCCGGTTCGCATAATTGGAAGACGAACACTCTATTCCCTAAACCACCGCGGCTCATTCTATTTATATTATTTTCCTCTAATATATGCCCTTCTTAAACATAAAATATTGTTTGACCTATCAGGAAAAAAGAATAATAAGCCTGCACGATGGATCTCATAAGCGTTAGATAAGTTGTCCACCTATTTTCTCAATTCACTCACAAAACAATAGCACTAAAATTGCAATATTATTTATAAATAGAGCAAACAAATTATTTTTCTACCCTATATTCCAGTCAAAGAGTTCTAGCAAAAATGTTCTCTGTGCATATTGTAGAAGTAAAATTATTTTTAAAAAAATATAACTATAAATTGACAAGTTGTGAAATACTATTGTGAAATATTAATTAAAAAAGATCAAAGTTTGATTTAATAATCAAACTTTGATCTTTTTTAAGTAAATCTGAACTACAGTCCCTGGCCAATTTATTAGACGCACTGTAAAGATTCTATGTAAAATCTTAATTATACAGGTGATACTCTTTACAGCTTTATTGTTTATACGCTACTGGAACCGATTCCAGTAGTACTCGTTTGCGTTCTTGTATCCATTGGTGAAATTAGACTATTATGTAAATATAGAATATTTACTGTATCAGGTAATATATTACTATATTATAATAATTGGAACAAATTATGAGACACACTGTAGTGTTTTAATAATGGCATGGTTTTCCTCGAGTTCATAGGCAACACTGTAATATTTAAACATACATGTAATGGGTATTTACAGAGGAGATTTTTAATAGACTTCCCATTTGTATTTATTTTTAATATAATGCATTACAATGTTAACCCATTTATATACGAAATATATAAGAATAACTAGAATAAATAAAAGGAGCAATATCCAATGAGAGTATTTTAATGAGGAATATTACAACAGTTAGATATTTAATGGAATATTTTAAGATGCCTACACATAAATTATTTCAACATTTTTACGCACATGTAGTCAGTTGGTTGTTGTGTTCAAAGAACCTTCTTTATCCTGTAAAATAACTGTTTCGGTTGATAGCGCTGTTTACTGTCTCTCCTCATTTGCCTCAATCATACTTCTGAAATGAAATTAAAGAAATAATATGGATAAATTGTGAAATACTAATGGACAAAGAGTCGTTGTTTAAAGTAATAACTGAAAAAAATAACTCATAAAACACTTAGAATTGCAATCATTTCAAAGAAATTTGAATTTCTCAAGAAAATTTACAAAAAAATAGCTCTTTTAGTGGGTCAAATTTCAAAATTGTTTGTCGCATTTCAGCGAGCGGCAGATCGGACCGCACTTTATTTTTGACTACAAGTTTAAGAAGAAATAATTATGGTATTTATAATCGAAATATCATTACTTCATGGTACATTTCTCTTCACATCTTTGTTAGTTTTTGAACAGCGAAATCAGAAACGATTTTTTATTGTTTATTACTAAAAGGTACACTGGATTCAACTACATTAAATTAAAAAATTCCATTGGCAATAAATTTTAAAACACTAATACTGTCGGGGAATTTTTTCTTAACATAAAATAAATTTCAAGGAGATTTTTTAAATGTTGGAATCCTGCCTGTTATTTATTAAAATCAACCATTTTAATATTTAAGTTGCGGTCTGTTTTCAGAATGTATTACGGTTACAGGCACTCTTTCCTCTAAGCCAATCTAATTATGAAATCATACTGAAAAGAAGGTATCAGATTTTTTTTTGATTAAAATCCTCGGTTAAATCAAATCATTTTTTTAAAGAAATGATTTATGAAGATATTTTAATAAGAGATGATTCAAATTTTTTTGTTATTGATTTTCAATGTTTTAATGCATTGCTACGTTAACAAGTTTCAAAGAGTAATCATTTAAGCATTAGTACTAATAAATCGACAGTACTAAGCGTGTCATAAATTACAGAACTTTGAACACGAAATTTTAAATAACTTTTTTTTTAAAAATTTATAAGAATGCAAATGAAAGACAAACTAAGGAAATTTTAGCTCGTGAACCAGTTTAGTTTAACTTTTATAATAAGCCTAGACAAATGATTTTTTTTTCTATTGAAGTCTTTACTTAATATTGAGACTTAACTGATCTTGTACAGAAATAATGAATGGCCTTCTTATGGGCTATATGTGTTGGCCAAACAAACACCCATATAACTAATAAGTTTAAATTTTAAAATCGCGATGTCAAAAGTATATCGGGATATTTTCCCATTTCATCTAAATTCTACATGGGTTTCAGTATTTTTGTTACCTAAAATAAAATTTAGCTATTTTCACACAATTTATGAGTTATATAATATATTATAACAATATTATCAATTGATATTATATATATTGGTATAATTGATATAATTAATGATGAATGATTGCTATGATTATACAATATTCATAATGGATAGCGTCATAAATGATCAATTGATTGTGGATGACAATAATATCAACTGCTAAATGATTAATTGATAATAATTTTATACCGATTATATGATTATATAATGGATATAATTGATAATTATTATATATTATATACACTATGATATCAATCATGTAATATATTATAACAATAATATCAATGGATTAATTGATTTTATTAATATATATTATAATTGATATTATCACTATAATATCAATTATATCAATATCAATTATAATAGCAATATATATTCAATAATTATTAGTATGTAAGATGCTCCCGATATTATCATATTCGATGCCTCTATTTTTATTATCGGTAGCCAGTGAGCTGCTCATTGTTCTACTTGTTGTCGGTGGCCTCCAAAATAATCGATAAGTACTCCTTTCTGCTCACAAAGTTATATGATATCATCATTCAACAAAATGATACTATAAAGTTTGGTGATCAACAAAGATGTGAGCAAATCGTTATTAATAGTTGGTATTAAATTGTTTAAAGTATTAGAATTTAATACATTTCAAAGCCTTGAATTAAAAGTCGTTTTGACGAATAAAATATTATAGTTTAAAATTACCAGTGAGAGTGAAATATAAAATTTCTTCAATTTTCGATAATACTACACCCCGAAAGATGTGATCAGATGCAAAACCACCCTTTGGAAACTGCTGTGCATATATATATACTGGGGGAGGCTAAACCCCCTGTTCGCTGCCGCTGACCAACCCCGATAATTGCTTCGCAATAATTGTCTTTTCTTGGCAGAAAACAGTTTTTCTACTAAAGTTAAATTTATTCCCTTAACATATATGTACTAAAAGGAATTCTGTTTGCTTACGCTTGCCCCTCTTCTTCCCACGTCCAAATATTACTATCGATTAGTGTTATAAACATTTAGATCTCTTGTTGAACATAAGTAATTTTTCGAAGTAATCATTTTTTTAAATAACAATCATATTCTTATAACATTATATTGTTCAAACAAATTTGATGAGTTCACAACCATAATTTAATATTTTCGCTAATAATAGCAGTTCGGGAAAATAAGTTTAAATGAGGGATACAAAAATATTTAGAAGAAAACAATGCCTATGCGACTTTTGTTAATTTTATGCTGATGACAACCAAAACAATATTGAAATATAAATGAGGAAAAACTGGATCCCATCTCGTGATTTTTTCGCCAATAGAGATGAACGGACAACAATGGAAAACTCTGACACCATTATTAGACATACTCACTATGAAATAAAAATCACCTCTCTGCTTTAGATGGTAAGTTTAGTCGTAACATTTTAGCAAGCAGCATTATTAAAAATTATTACCTTTTCACACATATACGTTCTCAATTTTAATTGGCTGTTTTGTGCGTTACTAACCGCAAGTGTTCTGTGATTGATTGGTTAGTAAAATTATTTTTAGTCTTTTTTTAGTTTTGATTTAAGAATTTGTTCATCATCAAGAAACAAATACTTCTTAGCTATCATGAGGGTTTGCGAGCAACATGGATGAAGAGGGGGGGGGAGAGAATAAGGAAATAAAGCATCTGTATTGAAATCCTCTGGTACATTCTGTTTTCAGAATTATGGATTATTCTGACTATTTGAGAAAGTGAATGAATAAGACTTACATTTAAGCAGCTGATTGTAAGAGAGTTGGGCAGACGAGGCTGGGAGATCCCCAATCCATCAACAGGTTGAAGCTTACAGTTACAGAGTTCTCGAACATTCCGCTCGATACTAAACGCACAGCTGAATTGCCGCATGCAACATCCACCGAACTACGACCTATAATCAATAACCACTATTTTAATACACAAAGAGTACTTTAGGGATCATTTAAATGTAATGATGATGACTGGATGGATTATGTGGGTGCTTCCTCAATGTTTTTTCTAACAAGCGCTTAATATAAAAAATTCATTTACTTGCCAATGACCACTTCCCTCATTATCCCGAGATAACTCGGGTATGTATATATATTGGAAATATTTTTTATCCCGAGATAACTCGGGTATGTATATATTGGAAATATTTTTCATCCCGAGATAACTCGGGTGTAGCAGAATTTGTCCGTTTGTTTTGTTTTGACACGTTTTTACTCGTCCGGACGCAAAAAAAAAAATACTAAAAATAAAAATCTGTTGTGATTGGCAGTTTGTCAAGTTTTACTGTTGGATTGTGGGACTGCACACGTGTTTTGTGTTATTTTACATACAATGGTTGGTGAATTGACATAGGAAAAAAAGGTTAAAATAATGGCGTATCACTTTACTGGTGTTTGGAAAGTATCACTTTCTGTTGTTCCTTGTTTCAAAAACTATCCTACAAAGACTCATATTTAAAGTTTTTTCCTTGATAACTCGGGATAATAAACTGATGGTAAATTAAATGTTTTTTGACACACACAAAAAATTAAAATTTCAGCTCAGAACGTGTGTATTAGGTTTCGTTTTAGTTCCTTGTATTTATGAATTGTTAATGAAATAAAAATAGGTTGATTTTTTGTTTTTTAAATTGGTAAGGGAAGATTTTGTTTGAAAACCTTGTAGTTTCTAAACATTCTGATAGGACCCATCCGATGCATATTGAATCTTAATTTGTTCTGCCAAATATTTAATTGTGGTAAATTTTCAGCTTTAGAAGAAATTTAGGCAAACTGTTTCTGTTTATTTTTAAACATTCGCATATAAAATTTCGTAAAAAAAATGCATTAAATTGTTTTAAATAAATCGCTTCCTTTTAATATTAATTTAAAACCATCGAATAAAACAAAACAAAAAATACATAAGTGAATTCTTACCTATATGTTAGTTTTATTTACCTAAATGTATCCCAATAAATTATAATTTAGTGCCAATTGTGTGTCATCTCATAAATTTTTCTTCTGAGATTGCAATCTATTCGACATATCTTTTATGAAGAGAGAATTTTCATTCGATTCAAGAACCTCATTTTCTAAAAGTTTTCAACTCCCTATATATCTCAGCATTATTAATAGAGTTGTAGTTCATTTACGTCACACTAGAGCTGCACATTGGGCTATTGGCGACGGCGTGGGAAACATCCCTGAGGATAATCCGATCACCATTTTGATCCTCCACTGAGGGGATGGCACCCCCCCCCCCTGCTTCGGTTAAAATTTTGTAGTTATTGTTCGATTTCAGCTTTTTTTTCCACCAGAATTTATTAAATAATCGCTAAAATTTCATTAGTTGGAGATTTAAAAAAATTGCAATTTATTCTGTTTACATGACGTTTCAATTTTACTGTAACAGGCAAGAAGACTCAGTCATTATGGTTCGTTTTATACGAGCTATTAATAACAGAAATATTTGGGACTGAAACTACTCAAGTGTGCTTACTGAAAAAAAAAAACTAATCATCGGAACTTTGAGTCGACGATAATATAAATTTACAACAACAAAAAATTGATAAAACTACGGTTTCAACATTTTTCTTTTCAAAAAAGAAGTCTGTTTTTAATACTTCTCAGTTCAGAAGAAATAAATCTCAATGATAAAATAAAGTAAATATCATCTAGTGTTTTTGTTGACTGAAACAAACTTACATTAGAGTTGGACTAGAGTCTGCTTAAATTTCTTTATAAATGAGACTGTTTTTAATGCTTTTTGCAGAAGCATCTTTCCCTAAAACGTAAAAATAATTCTAAATTCAAATGTTCGACTGAGAGAATTCTTTTCTCTCTAACTTTGTACATATATNTATATATATATTTCTTTTTTTCTTTTCTTTTTTAATGCACCTCTCTGGATTTGTGCACTCTTGCACTCTAATGACACATTCAATTGCATGATTCTTTTTACACGGAAATAATGTGAAAACATATAGAATGTGTGTTCCAATTTTTTCATATGTTTTGACAAATATGTTTTGACAAAATCTCACGGTCAGAATCTCGGGTGACAAAATCTCGCAGCCCCAATCATTGGGGGTTAAAACTAAAGTTTTGCGTGAATTAAATTTCGCGCGGATTCAATCTCACGTGAAGAAAATATCGTTTACATAATGTGACATCACACTCGATTATGAACACGCATTTTCTTCTCAACCTGCACACCTTTAATTACGAACGTATCTAAATTTTTTAATACTGTGTGTAAAATATGCAACATCCAAACACGAGGATATTTTTGGTTGAAATATTTGAAGTGTGGTATGAACTCTCACTTTTGCACTGGTACAAGGGATTCACGGAAAAAGGCGGTAAAAAAATTTTCAATAGCAATTTATGTCCTTCCAATATAATCCATACTAGATATTTGCTTTTGCTGTTGAATTTCATACACAGTTTTTATGCACTGATTTGTCCTCGTGAGTTCTTGACCACTAGATTTTGTTCGTGTGTTTTTCGGTCGCGAGATTTTGTCTTCATCACTATCATAGATGGCCAGACAACCCAACGTGGGCCAATGCCTTGTTCTGAATATTTCTTCATAATGACTTCCAATTTGTCTTTGATCTCCAATTCTTTTCAAGAATTGCGAGAAAACCAGACACCACCGAGTCGGCTCATCTCAACCGCGGCCATCCCCACTTTCTCGTTCCCGTGGGTCTAAAAAGCAGCATCTTTTTTATCGTATTGTCATCACTCATTCGAATCACGTGAACCATCCAATTCATTCTATTTATTTTTACGTATTTAATAATATCGTGTTGTTTATAAATCTTGCACAGTTACAAAGTTAAATCTCCTTCTCCAGTTATTGTTTTCCGCAAAATCTTTCTCTCGGATACAATTTTTCTTCCAGTTTTGTGATTGTCTAAGTCACAGAAACGTATGTCAAGACAAGAGTTTTGTAAATTAAGAACTTTCTAGAAAGAAACCTAGATTTAATAAATCTTTCATATTTGCGAGATAGATTTTTTTATTTTATTTCAGGAGTCATTCTGTTGTCGATTAGTGATGTTTTGGTCCTGAGATTTTGTCGGGTGATTCTTTCGGTCGCGAGATTTTGTCCTCGAGCCACAACAAAAAATTCTAACCTGGTAATGAATCCAAACCACAGAAGTCTTCAGCAACTGTCATCATTCCTGGGTCTAGACCATCTCCACCTCTGACTTCCACATAATCTTCTAGGCCACGATTCTTGCACTACAATTAATATACAAATCTGTACACTAGAATAATATGCTCTGAAATATATGGGGTAGGGGTGCACAACCTTTTTGAGTGATGGGCCACTAGCACAGGCACGCGTATTTAGACATGTTAACGGCAAATAAAAAAAAATTTCTCTTAACTCATTGTTTTTTTTATCAGTAAGCCAAGAATGTATCAGTCATGTTTTCAGAAAATTAAATGCTTTTAATTTTTAAAAATACTTTTAATTATTAAAATTCATTCAAAAATAAAGAAAAACAATATTTTTTTTAAAAGTCCGTTTTTATCAAAAATTATGTATTTAAAAAATATTTAAAAATTGGATTAAAAAATGGGGTTTTTTTGTCATACCACTTAGTACAAAAATTCATTTAAAAAAAGTTCAAACTTTAAAAAAACAAACCTAATCCTTACAGAATGAAAGTATTAAAAATAAATACAAATTTTGATGATGAATACAAATTCAAATGAAATATTTTAATTGAACAAAATGTGTAGGAAAAATCACTTGGATTTGAGATGAAATCGGCAAAAGTAAGGCAAGACAAAAAGTGATGACTCGAATTCAAAATTCGCGTATCTTAATATCGTATTAAAAGTATTGGATTTTTTAAGAACCGTACAAAATTCTAAAGCAATCGAGAAACACTTATTTACAATAGAATTTATGTAAATTGAGCTCGTCAAAAAGTGATGACTCAAATGTGAAATTCAAAATTTTCGGTATTTTCTTTATTTTTCCAAAAAAAATTTTTTTTATTGTGCACACAAGCTTTTTCGGGTGGCACATCAACAGTCGGCGGGCAGCAGGTTTTGCACCCCTACTATAGGGGCTAACTGACGGTAGAAGAATAAAACAAACAATATGTTTTTGTGATCAAGTAGCTGTGCTCCCGAAAAGAATGCTGCAATCTATTGCGTAATATTTTCGAACTGCACAAATTGTTTAACTGGTACGACTGAAGAACTCAAAACAATGGTCATTGAAGGCTTGCAGCGACATCTGCAGGCAACTTTTGTAAAATATCTCTCTTTACATCCTTCACGATAAATATTCATTCCTCTACCCCTACTTTTTTTAAATTTAATCTTTCTAAGTATAGCAGTCAAAAACAAGGGCGCCGGCAAAATAATATAAAAGGGGGTGCAACCCTCTAAGAAACTGCCCCCTCCCCCCCAAAAAAACTTTAAAATATTCTGTTATTACATTTTGTTTTGTTATTACATATACTTTCATCTGTTAATTTTTTCAAGATACATTTCTTCATTGTTAACAAGACATTTTTTAAAAAAAGTACGAATTTCTTGTACTTGCAAATTTCGCCACGAGAAACTGGATTGATGGCATAGAAACACAAATAACTACAAACTGTAGTTTCGTATACTAACGGGTTTGTGCACCCTTAACATTGGTATTTATTGTGTTGATAAAGTTTCACAGTTGTGAGAAATCAGTTTGTGTTATACACCTTTGTTAAAATGAATAACTAATGGAAAATATAATATTATTTTTATTTCATTAAATGAAATTTAAAAATGTAACTTGGATATCTGCCAAGTTTGTGCATAAGAAAGGAATGAAAGATGACTTCATTGAAAAAGTTATAAGCAGATTTGGTCAGCAAACAAGACGATTGCAATTCTTGCTTGATTAAGCAATTTTTTAAATGTTATGCATCAATAATTACTTAATTATTTGTTTTTGAATAAAAATATTTTGAATAAAAAAAATTTATAACAAAATTGTTTTTCTGTATCTCTGTTTAGTTGTTTTAAAAAAAATGCCTCTTGCACCCCGCTGCCGGTGCCCTTGGTCAAAAACATGTTTCCTTTAATGTAGAAAGATACAGTTTTGTTACTCATTTTGCAAATTTACATTGAAGAACGTGCATTCATTTTCTCTTATAATACCCCGCCTTTGAAATGAGGTCATACTCTATGATATTGAATAATCGTAAATTGCTCTAAACATATTTCAGATGAAAGTATGACTTTATTTTTTTGGATGGAAAAAATTCAAGAATTTATTTTACAAATTTACATTTCAAAACCTTATAGTATCGAGCATTAGTATTAGTCTTGTCTTTAAAATGATGCCATACACTCATTGCAAATTGGAAGTTTTTTTTCTTACGTTGAAAGATACAATTTAGAGTTTCACAAATTTACGTTGAAAAACCTACAATTTTGGGCATTCCTATTTTCCATAAAATTCCGTCCTTAAAATATATTTTGAAATTCAATCATAATTTTGGCTCTCAGTCTAAGTTTGACATTTTTGGTGAAAGGCTTCAGAATTTCACCGTAACAAGGAAACCTTTAAAAATTAATTTTGCAAAAACTTATAACATAAAACCTTTTTTTTTTTAACAAAAATTGTTTTCACAATAGTTCGTTTTTGAAAAGGTGATTTAGACTTAGGTGTTAATCTGTAATTTTATCTAAAATTAGCAGTTGAAATCATAAATGTTATTCTTACGATTGCAGGGAATACTTTTGAAATTAATTTATGATATTTTCTCCATGAAACTTACATTTGAAGAGTTGTATTTAAAATCTATAAAAGAATGTAGCTAAACTTTAAGTGACACTTTAGAAGTTAATTACACAAGCATGAATCTCAAAATGTAACACTTTAAGTTACAGAGTTATTATTTTAATCATTCCCCAGGTTTTAAATAAATCTGTCAAAATGGAAGTTAAAAAATAACTACACACATCACAGTTATTATTTAAGGGATAGAAAAAAAATTCTATAGTAATCCTTATACGAGAAAGAGAGATTGAAAACATCAAAACCCTGTTTGATAGCCGTCACAAACTTGGTGGAGATTTAAATAACTTCTATCTTTAACTCTTTTCTGGATTCTGTCGTTAATATAACAGGTTTTGATGCTTTTAAATCCACCTCCTCGATACTGATTCATCCTGCACCAACGTTCTTGGTTTTAATTACCAATTCAAAACTCCTTATGGGGTATTATTTTTGACCAGAATTCTTAAAATAGGTTTGTCATTGCAGAACACGCTGTATGAAAAATAAATAAATGAACTAGGTGTTGCAGTATGCGCTGTTGTAGAAAAAAATGAACGGTTCGCTGGGTATCTTCATATCCTTTTTTTTTTTAGACAAATTATGAATATCGATTTAATGAGTAGTCAAATTAGACAAATGAATCATGATTAAAAATTATTCTTACCTATAGAGTCAAAAATGCAATAAACTACCTCACCATTACACTAATTTGACAGTTCTTAACCGCTTCCCCGATTATCCCGAGTTAACTCGGGTATGGATATATTGTAAATAGTTATTATCCCGAGTTAACTCGGGTATGGATATATTGTAAATAGTCATTATCCCGAGTTAACTCGGGTATGGATATATTGTAAATAGTTATTATCCCGAGTTAACTATCGGGTACGTATATATTGCACATATTTGTCTTCACGAGAAAACTCGGACGTAGCAGAATTGGTCAGTGCATTTCGTTTTTATCCCGTTTTTACTCGGTCGGAAGCAAAAAATATAATCTGCTGTGATTGAAAGTTTGCCAAGTTTTGTCTTGGGAGTTTTGCTGTTGGATTGTGGGACTGCACACGTGTTTTGTGCCATTGTATATACCATGGATTCTGAATTTACACAGCAATAAGAGTAAAAAAAGAGGTGTGAATAAAATAAAAAAGAGGTGTGTTCCCTCACTTGAAAAGTATCATTTTGTGTTGTCCCTTGTTTTAAGAACTATCAGGGCTCGAAAAACAGCCGGTCCGCCCGTCCTCGGCGGTCAAAACTTCCCAGCGGACAGCAAGTTTGTCGAATCCGACGTCCGCGCGGACGGCCAGTTTCCCGTTAATGGTCGTGATATATTTTCAAGTTTTGTAATCTTACAAGAGTCTAGCGCCTCTCTTCTAAAATGAACCTCTAATCTAGAGATACAGCAACATTCTGCGCATGGTGGAATTGATGTTTTCTCTGTCTGGGAGTACTGCAGCGGTCGAAAGGGGCTTTTCTCCAATGAACTTACGAAGGAAAAAAAAAAGCACATTACGTACTGGTCTGAAACAAGAAGCGTTAAATGCAATTATGAACATCCACCTAAATGGAAAACCCTTTCAGATTTCTGTGCAGAAACCTCTGTAAATCATTGGCTTGATTCTGCAACTGGCAAATGTTACATTTGATTCATTGAAAAGGCGCTGTACTCTCGGATAAATTGACATTCCAGATAATTTGACCTTAGTCATTTAAATTATTTCATAAAAGAAGTAAATCATTTCATGAAAGAAATACTAGGTTACTATTAGCAACCTAGTATTTCTTTTCTTACTGTATAATGTAATCCTAGTATTTGTAATCGTAGTAACGACTAATTCATTGTGCAATTTATGTAAATGTTTGTAATAAATAAGAAATTATATTTTTACTCATTTAGAAGCTGCTGGTTAGTTTCAAAGGAGGACGGGTACACTGTTGGGCAAGCCGTCCTCGGGGACGGATAAAATTTCTGAGGTTTTTCGAGCCCTGAGAACCATCCTACAATGACTTATATTCATTTGCCAGAGATAACTCGGGATAGTAAACTGATGGTTAAAGATGAAATAAGAAAAATATGTTAATTTTTTTACATTTTTTTCTTTAAAATAATTGGGAAGGGAAGCGATTAAAGCCTCATTTAATATACTAATAGGCAAAATCAAAGAAAATACCGAAAACTGCCTGAAAATGTCGAAAACTCTAATGGACTTACTTTCTTAACAATTCCCGTTTCGACATCCATAGTCCGTCCAGTTTTGGGCATTGATTGGTGACCCACGCTGCTGGCTAAAATGTGGAATGTTTCTGGAAATATGATGGACATTGTGCAGTTTACTTTCTCTCCGTAATTCCTCAAAGTATAAACTCCAGAGGGTTGCTGCAGAACCGCATTACATGCTGCAAAAACAATGATGCACTGCAAGTTTATTATACTAATAAGAAACAACAGAATTAAACTGTAGCATTGCAATGCATTCCCAATAATAAAATGCTGAAAAGTAACAAAAAAGTTAGAGTTAAAATATCCAACAGCGAAATAACAAAAAACACCGCATTGCGATAATCAAAAGCTGCAAAATAACAAAAAGAAAGAGTTAAAATATCGCATGTCCAATAATTATGAGTAATAACAAAAATTTGTGTCGAATAAAGACACTACAAATTGATCAAAGTTGTTATAAACAACTTACCACCACCTGGCCACATTATTACACGCAGTCTAAGATTTTTTTGAAAAATTTTAATTATGCAGGTGGTACTTACACCCTTATTGTTTCTTATGCGACGGTTTTTTTTTTTTTTTTTTTTTTTTTTTTTTTTTTTTTTTTTTTTTTTTTNTCAATCTTGCTTTCTAATTCCAATAACTTATATCCTAGCTAAAATCTTTCTGAGATATTTGAAAAATTGTATTTAAGGCATAGAAAAAAAGTGCATTCATTTTTTCGAGTAAATTTTTTTTTTTTTTTTGAAATCATCTACAATCTATTCCCATAGTCTATACTTTTAGTGCACCGGATAAGTTTTGAAAATACGACATTCAGCATGAAGTTAAATGAATACAAATTGCCTCCAAATGACTTAATTTTGATTTTTTTTGAAATTATATTTTGAAAACGCAGATAAAAATTGGATATTTTCTCATCGACTTAGCGAAAGCCATTGTTTTAAAGTAAATGAGAGATAATTTAGATTTGTCAAATACTTTTTTTAGATAAAGATTAATGATATTTGCTAACTTGTGACTCTAATCAAACAAGTTGTTTATAGCGCGTTCTATAATACTTAATTATTTTTTATTCGTTATGACACATTTTAGCAGATTATCCTCACACAATGTTCGAGTGCGAACATTGTGTGAGGCTGCTAAATGAGGTGAATCCAAGTTTGAATCACAGCAATGGACAGTTACAGTTAATTATTTTTAAAAATCTTAATGTATTTTCCAAAAAACATTTTATTACTTTTCTAAGAGTATTCATTTTTTAGTTATTTTTCGGCCAGAAACGCTTACTTTCGTTTTTATCTGAAATGGCGGGAGTCACGTAATTATTCACACATTGACGTCATCGTTACCGTTCGTTTGCAATCGTTGCGCTATGTTACGTTCTTGCTATCGTTTGAAATTTTTGTAATTAAATCCAACTATTTTAGACGGTATAAATCAGAGAACACACAGATAAATCTTGCCATAATGTAGTTGAATGAAAATGTGAACTTATGACGTATTTTTATAGCATTGTTAGATTTCAATGGAACCCACTATACATGTTTTTGGATTTTTGAAAGTTTTGATTCGTTTTAGGCGATACCGAATCCTTAACCTGAGATTTTTCACCCATTTTATTTAAATTCTTTTCATTAAAAATGTATAATGCATAAATTTTACTATCTTAGAATTCTTTGTTAGCAAACACTAACAAATAGTTTGAAGAAAAAAGGAAAACAATTAACAGTAACCATACTTTGTAAATACTATATTGCAAAAAGAGGAATTAAAATTTATAAATTTAAGAATAAAAATAATTTCTAACTATTGTGAAACTACTATTTACTCCAAGAATAATATTGCGAATAGATGTGAGCACTAATGTGAATTTAAATACTTAATACTGGTACATCGTAAAAAAAAATGTGAACATGCATTAGTAAATATTTATTTTAAAAAGAAAATCCTTCAACTCTAGTATTTCTTTTTTTTTTTAAAAAAGTCAAAATTAAATGACATAACCTGAATTTTTGAACATTAGCGTATAGATTTTAACAATGATAGATACATATTTTTCTCAATGAAAACACAGATTTGTTTTAACGCAATAAAACCATTTACCTAAATATATATTATTCCTGTCCTATCTGCCACCGATTTTAGTTAAGTAATTATTATCTTAACTTAAAAATATATAGAATAAAGTAATATTTTCTATGAATTAACACTTCTTATTTCATTCAAAAAGAAATGTCGATTCTGTGTGAACAACTACATAATCATCTTAATGATAAATAAACAGTTCGAAGGTTTAAAAATATTTCTTCCATTTTACACACACAATCTCAAAACCGTACATTTAATTCACAAAATTTTTACAATTAATATGCAAAGTATGTCCATACGATATCAAAACTAAAAAAAAACATTGAAATAGCGATTGGAGGCAGCACGTTTCCATTCAGCACATGTGACGTCATAACCAATCAGGGATTACTTTTAATTGCCTTACATGCTGAGGCCTTTTTGGGAGAATTTAAATGATTAATAATTAAATAAATGAACATTTTTGGGGGTGGGGGAAACACGCTGATTTTCTAAATCAGGAGAGAATTTCAAATAAAAAAATAGAGCGTGGAGTCCCTCCACGCGGAAGAAGTTAAACTTCGCAACCTGCCACGTTAATTGTAGAAGAATCAGCAGTCGTAGAAGGATCACTAGTTCTATTCAACGAATCTCTTTTTCCAGTTCCGCTGGCTTCCGTGCTCCGTAATCACGGTAATATTGTGCATTTTTCCCTCGTGGAACTCTTGAACCAGTGGAAGTGCTTGTGGTTGCCTCATCATCTCGCCCTGGAAAATGTATTTGTATTAATAATGTATGTGAACGCGTAATGTAATTTCAAGAGAGAAGACCTAACAATTAATTGATATTCACAAGAGACGTACCTTGACATAACCTGAAATCCGTCGCATTGTTCATGGGATTGTTTTCACTCATTTTTTAAAATTGTTATCCACTAAATTTGAAAATAAAAAATACTACCCTATTAAATTATAAGTGTATCAAAACAAACTAAAAAAATATTTATAGAAAAACAATACTTTTATTATTTTTATGCTAGTGAGAACCAAAACAATATGGAAATGAATGAGGGAAAACTGGATCCTACCACGTGATTTTCCGGCCAATAAAAATCTAGCGTTAAACGTTTAACGCTACCTTGTTGAAAGTCGCATAAGAAGTATAACTTCAATTAGGATTGAAAATCAAAAAAAATAAGAGATGCTGTAATTGTCCATAGCAAGACCATACGAATTCTACCTTTGGGGGATATGCTGAAGTATGACATTTTGTGACAACGGGAGGAAAGAAGATGAAAAAAAAATGTGACTTCATTTATGACTCTTATCTCCAAATTCAATTCAATTTAACTGGAGTTCGAAATCTGAGTACGACCGACAAAAAAAAATGACTATCGTTTATTTTTCTTTTCATGATATTGTGTCATTATTTGGGAGGAAAGAAACATACACTTTCTATGAACGGTATACCACTAGTTGATTCATTGCTGTTTTGTGAGAAGCCGGGAGAGTTGCATTAAGACCACCGTACTTTTCAGCGCTGATTGTGGGAGCGGTATTAAGTTCACGGTTGTGGTAGCTCTTGTGTTACCTTCAGCAGTCGAGTGTATACAGGCCGATGTTATGTGTGATTGAGACTAATTAGCAACAGCGCGAGGAAGTGGATTTTGTCACATTCACAAGTAGCAAGTTCAATGGGGACCGTCCATCAAAATAGGCGTGTTCAAATCGAAATGGGAGTTTCTGTCAAGTTAGGCGTGTTCACATCAAGTGAAAAGGTGCCCCCATCATACGATCGAGTTAACATGTCTTATATACTAGTGAATCAGAATTGTATTTTTCTAGTGGTAGATACACACTTAAGAAATCGATTTGAATGGGTCTCCCTTTATCCAAAAATTGTAATTTTTTCGACTTTCCCCTTGTCTCACTCAGGAATCTACTGTATTAAATAATGCATGTTTTTAATAATGTCCCTCATCAACATACGTTTTGGATTTGGACGAAATTCCACTGCAACAATAAATCCTTCCTCTTTGACTGGAATTCTGAACTCCAAGAGTCCGATGTTTTGTGATGTCTCCAGAGTTTTCCAGGGTCTGTTTTCTACTCCACAGTACTCTGTAAAACGATTTTCCGAAGCTTTAGGGTGATCTTCAATACCCGGGAAAAACTGCCCGTTCAGTTCCCATCCATCCACAACCTGTCAGAAAAACAAATCACCCGCTGTTATAAATAATTTACAAATCGATATCATTCAATATCTGCATTAAAATACTGCTCGATTGTAATATTTACTCGAAAACAGTTTAAAAAAATTTAAATCTTCTTACTGCATCAAACGATATTCTCTAACCACCCACTGTACCACAGGAAATAATCGCAGGCCCATTAGAGGGCCTACAATGTGCCCAATAGGTCACTTATGTATGTATATATAGGATAGCGTTAAAATCAGGAAATCCGAAGACAATATTCCTATCTCCCCTTAATATTGACCCATAACATTCCAACTGCATCATGTATTATATTATCGGGTACTACAGTACCCCGCCAGAGGAAATAATCATAGGCCTAATAGGATGCACACAATGTGACCCTAATACTTGTAAAAAACTGAAGTGAAAAATTATCTACAATTAGAAGTTTCAAATAAATATTTAAAAGAGAGAAAAGCAGAAACACATTTTTTTTAATCAATCTGATGAATTATTTGTTTCAGGACAATGGATTAAAAAAAATCTGCTGAACGAAAACAGATTGGAAACAAAGTTCGATTATCTGAAACCAATTCAATTTTCTCCCGCAATCAAACTGGTTTAATTAAAAGCAATGATTCACAAAATTATTTTTAAAAAAATCGAATTATTTTGTCTTTTTAAATTGCGTTTGTTTTTGCCTATGAGTTTTGTACCTCTTGTTTTTACCCAGTCCGAGAAACTGATAAGACTATAGTTTTAGTTTATTCCTATTTCATCCTAGTTCCCTGATCAGTTTCTGACAATGAGCAGATACAAAATTCTCAAGAAACCAATATTTGTAACCAGTGTAAGTAAAAGAAAATAATTATAAGTATTTAAAAACAAAATATAAATTGAAATAAAAAATCCACAATGCTCCATTCTTTCGAATTTATGAGAGACGCAAAAGGAACTCTCACAGGTTCAACCTATTTTGATTGACACATTTTTAATATTGAATGTACCTTTATAATCCAACAAAATTGACGTAAATATAACTGTGCAAAAAAACGTCAATTTTCCGTTAGTTAAACGACTTTGAAAAACTGCGGAAAAATGGGTAAATTGTGCACGTTAAATTATCGTATTTTTAGCACGTTTTTTTAACGAAATATTTAAAGAGAAAAGTGAAAACGTTAATATACCGTCAATTTAACGTATATGTTTGACCGAGTGAAAAAATGGTGAAAATCATCACGAGAAATGGACGTCACTTTAACGTTCAAAACCTTATAACGAACGTACGTATTTTTAAAGTTTATTTGCCCTTTTATTGCTGCATGCTATGATAAAGAGATTTCCTTTCCACTCTCTTCATTAAAGTGTTCATTCATGAGCAGCACAACAACGTCAAAACACTTGAAATTTTTATGAAATGTTTATGAGGTGTTTTTTCATGAAGGAACAGCTCTATGAAACTCCAAGTCACCCTCAAAATGCTAAACAATATTATAGGGTTGCAACGCATTAAAAAAACTTCAGAGAGAAAAAGTTTTATAAAGCAATGTGTGGGCAATCACAGGTTAAATTATCTTCTTCTTGACAACTCTTCTCCTTAAACCATTATTTGTATTTTAAAAGAATGTGTATCTTATGAAAAGAATGTCTTTTGTTGACACCAACGCATCTATAATGACAACTTAAAATCAACATTCAATGACGTCGAAAGGATTTATGTTACGAAACGTGTTGTCCTGTCCTTTCAAAAAGCTGCAAAGCTTAGTTAAATAATCTGGAGGCAAAAATAGTCTACTCTAAAAAAGAATTTTCAATCAAAATAAAATATGTAAATATATACAGTCCCTGGCCATAGTATTACATTAGACTCGCACTCTAACATTCTATATAAAATCTTAAATATCAAGTGATACTCTACACAGCTTTATTGTTTTTTGCAAGACTGTTTGCACTTGTTTACGTTCGTGTAACAATAGGTTAAATCAGACGATATATGATATAAATTAGACGATAGGGTAAATCAGACGATATATTAGATAAATGTAGGATATATATTACATCAGGTATCATATTAGTATATTATAATAATCATATCAAATGATGAGACGCACTGTTAGTGTTTTAATAATGACATGTTTTGCACGAAATTATGGGCAATACTCTTATACTTAAACATACATGTAATGGGTTTAATTTTTATAGACTTCCTACTTGTATTTATTTTTAACGTATTGCATTACACTGTTAACCCATTGAGCATAAACACATTGAAACCTGTTTCAGTGTCGTAAAAACAATAAAGCTGTAGAGTATATCACCTGACAATTATAATTTTAGTTAGAACCTTATAGTGCGTCTCACAATATGGCCAGGGACTGTGCCTACAATTTAATCTGAATGGTATAAATGCATACCGATAGAAGTCCACCCTTTTCGCAAGATATCTTGAATTCGTGGAATGTGAAATGGACTGTGTGGTGGGGATCAGCAATGACGTAAAATCCACACACCTGTGTTAATCCTGGTGAAGAGTAGAGATAAACACCTTCTTCTGATTTCACGTAAATACATTCTAAAACGACACATACCATTTTGCTTTAAAAAAAAAATTAAAACTTCATATAACATAATTTAACTGCGATGAAAGAGGAATATTTTTAATAACTAAACACTTACTCGAGTTAACTCGAGTATGTATAGATTGCAACTATTTATTATCCCGGGCATAGCAGAATTCGTCAATACGTTTTGTTTTATCACGTTTTGATTCGACCGGAAGCAAAGCGAAAAATAATCTGCTGTGATTGGAAGTTGGCCGATATTTGTTTGCTATGTGTGCAATTGTATATACATGAAATGGTGGATGAATTCACATGGAAAAGAAGAGTAAAGAGTTCGTGATCGAAAGTAATGCAGATGATTTTTCAGATGATGAAGACGTGAACATACCCAAAGACTCATATTTAACTTTATTTCATTTGCCCGAGATCATGTGGGATAGTAAACTGATGATAAATTAAATATTTCTGACACATGAAAGAATTAAAATGTCAACGTAGAACGTGTGTATTATGTTTTGTTATAGCTCCTTGTATTTGTGAATGAAATAAATAAAAAAATATGTTGATTTTATTCTTTTTTTTTCTCTATAAAATGGGAAAGGGAAGCGCTTAATACTTATTGCAATTGTAAGGTGATTAAACTCTTACCATCTAAAAATATAGCAGAATATATTAAAAATTGTGTAGTTAATATTTCCCAGATTATGGTGCAGTTAATATTTCCTAGATTTGTTTTCCGTAATTTTTTTAAATATTTTTTTAATTTGCTTATTTATGTTTGCTAAATAACTACAAAATTTTGAATGTATGAAAGCATGAAAAAAGTTGAATCATAATTTCTCGTACTTTATGATTGAAGTCATGATACAGACAAGCATTGTTTAACCCGAATGGACTGGTTCATGGAAGTTTTATTCAACAGTTGTCCCTATGAATCGATTTCAATATTACGTATTGTCGAAAAAATATCAGCATTTACCACGATATCACGAAATTGTTTTGATTAACTCATTTATATTATTTTCAAACAGGACAAAACTCCGAAACAAAAATAAAAATTATCAACTCTTTCGATAATATCATTATTCCATAATTATCGCGATTAAAACTAATGATAGCAATAATGAGAAAGTAGTTCGATAATTATAATTAAGAATAACGATCATCCTGTTTTCGTATTCGATTTGTGTTGTTATCTTTAATGATCACAATAATGTTGTTTCTGTGCAATATCGGTATCCTGTATGTGTATTATCGCTGTTGTTGTCCTGTAACAGATAATTAACCTAAACAGTCTTACTTCCAGTTTCATCATGTTCTAATTTAATGATATTTTCATTTTTCTTTTCATCTTGATCAGAAGTCTGAAAAATAAAAGAGTGATTATCAAAATTCATCCAATACTAATGATAAGAATTCATTTCCATTTAGTATTACAAATAGGAGTTGTTCAAAAAAGGAAATTTAAATTAATCTTTAACTCTTGAAGTATTTTTTAAACAGTCATTTGAACAATTACCCGCATTTTGGTTTATATTTGAAATGACGAAGTTGTTAGAAAGTAGTGACGAAGTTGTGAAAAATAAACATGAAATATGAAGAAAAATATTAGGAATAGTGAATTTTTCAAGTTTTTAAATGTTGTGCGAAGACAATAACACAAGGTAGAACTTTCTTTTTAAAGAGCAGCAGATGCGAATGAAATACATATCTTGATAAAGACAAGTTTTGTTCTTCTTAACTTACGGAAGTCCTTCCGGAAGAAAAAAGGAAACGTGAAGGGTAGAGAGTAAGTACTCCTAATCTTTCCATTTTAGTCTAAATCTTACTGAATTTTGTATCTCGCTCAAATCAGATTAAATGGGAAACAAGTCTTATCAGGATGAAAAGAAAACTATACGTGGACAATGTTGAACATCAGCAGAGATAACTTGTAACAGTTATAGGATCTCGAATAAAAATATTCAGCAGTTTTTAAATTTGGAAGAATAAAAGAAGCAATTCTTGGACATAAATAAAAAATCTTTCAGATAAAAAAAAAATCATTTGAAATATTTTAACTTATGACTGCTATTTGTTATTGTAAATTTATAATTATGTGCAAAATTTTTTTCAATTCGTTTAAAAAGTTCTCGATATATGGCAATGTATGCAAGAAGTAATATTAACCATTAATGGGTCCTAACATTTCTCCTGACAATATTATTGGAACCCTATTTCCCAGAATACGACTACACCCTACATTTTGGAGACCTATCAAAAATTTCATTCAGAGAAAGTACGTTTTTGTGTCTGATTTCGTGCACTAATTTATTCGAGATCTAAATGATTCTGGGAAATGCTTTTTCAGCATTTATAATAAGAATGGTCTCAGACCGAAAACCTCAACCTCATATAAACGCGATATCCTTATTTATTGAGTAGATATTAAATATTTTTGTATATAATACGGCATTCTTTAAAGCATACAGTCCGTGGCCAAATTGGTAGACGCACTATTAGATTCTATGTAAAATCTTAATTATACACGGGTACTATACGGCTTTATTGTTTTTACGCGTTTGAAACCGGTTTACACTTCTTTATGTTCGGGTTATGTTTGTATATCAATGGGTTAACATTGTAATACAATACGATAAAAATAAATACAAGTAGGAAGCATACAAAAATCTCTTAAATTAGAGCCCATTCCATGTTTGTTTAAATATTAATGTATTGTCTATCTATAAACTCATGCGAAACATGTCATTATTAAAACACAACAGCGCGTCTGATCATTTTTTCTTATTATTATGACATACTAATATAATAACTGATGTAATAAATATTTCATATTTATATAAAATATCGTCTAATTTGTATTATATATCGTCTAATTTGTATTATATATCGTCTAATTTAACCCATCGATACAGTAACGTAAACAAGTGCAAACTGGTTTCATCCGAGTAAAAGCAATAAAGCTGTATAGAGTATCACCTCATAATTAAGATTTTACATAGTATCTTTACAGTGCGTCTAATAATTTGTAAAGGACTCTATTTAGTAAATTTTACAGTTGTAAAAGTTTTCGATATATTTCGTATATATCAATTAATTATTCACTAAATTAAGAAATCAAGTTCATAATTACAGAATTCAACAAACATTGCTTAGTTTTTATTAAAGAAATTGCGCTCACACAATTAATAAAATTTAAGGCGTTCGTATAAATGTTTTTTTTAATAGCGTTCATCTCAACAAACCAATATTGGATTTTTTTTAAAAGTCATTAGAATTAGATTAATTTATACAAAAGACTAAAATGATTAACATAATATAAATTTCTTGGATATTTAGTCATATTTAAACACTTTTTTTAAAAAAAAGCCCATTATCGAAAACAATTTATACTTGCAATATTGAAAGGAAATGTATTTTAGAATTATAGGAAGCGATATCGTTTGCTGTAAGGGGGAAAAATCTATTACATTTCACAAACAGATGAAATAAAACTGTTTCATCAAATGCAGGTTCAAATGTATTTATTAAATATTTCCGTTGTGCACTTTCTTAAATTGAAATTGTCTCGGATCAAAATTTCATAACAGGCTTAAAATGATTATCTCCCCATAAATTCTTCTTTAAATGATTCTTTTTCAGTCAGCATTGGAATAAGAGAAACTTACAATTTGTTTTGCTCTCAGTCGCTTAGGCTCAATCAAAAAAGTAAATAATCGAATGTTTTAATAATACAGTCTCTGGCCAAATTATGAGACGCTCTCTAACATTCTATGTAAAATCTTTATTGCCAGTTACCATAAAAATCATTATTAATTTAAACCGATTGACACTTGTTTACGTTCGCGTATTTATTGGTTATGTAATATAAATTCGACGGTTGGATACATTAGACGATATATTATATAAAAGTAGAATAATTATTATATCATGTACTATATTAGTGTATTATAATAATTAGCCCAAATGATGAGACGCATTGTATTGTTTTAATAATGACATGATTTGCACGAGGCAATACTTTTATATTTAAGCATACATGTCATGGGTTCAAGAGATTTTTTATAGACTTCCTATGTGTATTAACGTATTTCACTACAATGTTAACCCATTGATAACGAACGTAAACAAGTGCAAATCGTGTAAAAACAATAAAGCTGTTATAGAGTATCACCTGATAGTTAAGATTTTACGTAGAATCTTATAGTGCGTCTCTTAATTTATGCCAAGGGAGTGTATTCCGTGGAGGAAATTTCACCGCTATTGGTATTTTGAAGTATGGAGAAAGGCAAACCACGAATTTTCAAATGCTGAAGAAAAAAACTATTTTCTAAATACAATGATGTAGCGTGGGTATCTCGATCCTGATTGCTTGTTGATGGAACTAATCATTTGCGTTACATGGAGAGGAAGACCAAGAGAACCTCCCACTGTTAGCCTATAGGCAAGGGGACTCTAACCCATGATCCGTCTACCACTGAGGATATTTCATGTCAGCACTGCGGTCGGTGCAAGCCGGATGCGGAATTCGTATCGACCAGCCGTCTGTGGGATTCGAACCCGGTTCACCTCATTAAAATGCGAATGATCTATATACTGGGTCATCGCGGCTCGTATCGCGATATTATGGTCATGGGTGTTCATATTTGTGCGGGTGCCAACTCGAAAAAACATTATTGCTTGTCTATGGTAAGAACTCCCCCCGCCACATATTCTGAGGCTGTTTNTATGGTAAGACCCCCCCCCGCCACATATTCTGAGGCTGTTTTCTGCTGGGGGAAAAAGAATAGCTGATTTCAGAGAGCTTCTCTTCTCTCTCTAGGGTTAACACAGTAGACCGAAGAAAAATATTTCCTTTCTTTCGCATATCAGAGCCAAAACCAGTCCTGAACAATGACCCCTTACATGAAATAGTTATACCTCGTTACCATAGTCACCGCCACGAGTCCTGACGAATTGCTAGGGGAGTTCTTACTTTAGGCAAACTATAGCCAACACAGGGAACCAATAGGAACCAGAAGCGTTCCATAAATTATATATCAGTTAAGTCTCACTATTAAGAAAAGAAAAAATTTTAATAGCAAAAATCCAGGCTTCGAAAAGTTTAATAAAACTGGTTGATTCATTTTAACAACATTTAAACGTACCAAATAACATTGATTTAACTTTTTAATGCTCACTTAAACTGTTTCATAGCTCTTGAAAACTAAACTAAATGCTTAGATGTTCTTTTAACTTTTACCCGCAAAATGGGTGCTTGGTTTAGGCGTCTACGCACTTCTCAACTGTGTTCAAGAGTAAACAGTGCGCATGCGTTGCTGTTTTTCTTTTCACTAGCAGTCCTTTTTAGTATTGTGGAAATGCTGATTCAGGAAGAACCTAAACTGCCCGTGAAAAATGTTTATAGAAGCAGCAAGATACTAGAACTAAAGTTTCATAACAATCAACATAAGGAAACGGCCCTCTCAACCTTGCAAAAGACAGGTATCCAATATCACGACAAAGACGTAAAGTTGTTCTCTCTAATTCTTCTTAACACACCTGTCACATTCACAGAAACTGAGATTATTAACTTGATAAAAATCAATGGCAATTTCAACCCTGCCTATGATATCATCAAACTGACCAAAGAAATCCCACATAAAAGAGATAATTCTAAGAGACACATCATCATAAGAGTCAACAGAAAACTCTCCATCAAGCTTTTGAATCTTAATTATTTCTACGCTGGTCTACAACGTTGCACAATTAAAAAAAGACTGGTTTTATTAAGGTGCAGAAAATGCCAGACAATAGGTCATCACCAAAACACATGTATTGAGTCATACTGTTATTGTGAGAAGTGCGGATACAAAGGTCATAGTATCGAAAATTGCACAGAAAAAGAAGAATTCTGCATAAACTGTCACTCATCCAACCAAGACTCCAATTTAAATCTGGACTGTAATCACAGAGCCTCCTCACCTTCCTGCCCAACTTACTTGCACGAACTAAAAGAGCTACGTCAATCCAATCAAGTCTATACACATCCCTACTAAAAAGACATATATATATTTATTTATTAAGATTTCTCTATATCTAGTAATACTTTCATCTCTATTAGTTTTTTTAACGCTATATTTTTTTTCTCTTTCTTTCTTATTAATTTATTTTATTCATTTCTTTTTACTAATTTCCCATTTCACATGTATATTTTTTTTGTTCGTCTTATTTCTTTTTAAATTCCACACTTTCAGTTAAAAAAAAAAAAATTTAAATATCATGTTATATAGGCTGGAGTGGAGCTGGATTAGTGGCCAAGTCTTGGGCTATATGGTTAAGGGTTTTTCATAACCTAGGTACATGCCCAGGGCTTGGAGGAAAGAAAAAAAAAAGTCCTTTTTAGTGTATTTTACATCATAATAAGTATTTTTATATTCTTTTTTTATTATGAACGTATAATGAATGGCTTCGATTTCAATATAAATATGAATGCTGTGGAAGAAAAAGTATTTTGAAACACGTACAACATAGGCATGGAAATCTATCCGAGGCAGTTTTTGCAACTCCCACGATTAAACGGAGTCAATCCAAAAAGAAAAAGCATTTGACCAATGGGTAACCAGTGATCGTCAGAGGGCGATCACAACATTTATTTAAATATTAAAACAGTTTTTTATTTAGCTATTATCGTTTTCACTTCGGAGAAATCCTTAACAAATGATTGGCTAGTTTAATTCATAATACCTTAAATAATAAGTTGCTAACTTGATTACGAGGATATTTGTTTCATTCTTTTTTTTTTAACAGTTAGCAGTTAAATATTTAAATGACCCGATAGCATGACACTCTCACTTGATTTCAATATGCTTATATATTTTGACTGTAACACCTCCAACTATTCTATTTATTTAAAAGGGGGTTGTCATCGGTGAGTTATTTATAAAAAGTTACATTTGTTGAGGGTTGTACACGTCGCGCAAATGATCTATTTGCTACACTATAAAAAATTCCGAACCAAATGACGGTAAAAAGTACCGGCACTCAGGGTGCCTGAAATTTTTATCGCAAAATGTTACAGAACAAAAAACTCCTATACAGCCTCATTTTTACAGTAATATTTAATGTAAAATCCCTCCATCCATTTGTTTGAATAAATATTACTGTAAAAAATTACGGTAGAAAATTTTACAGTGAAAATGGATTTTATGGTAAAATGATCTCTACGGATAATGCACCCAGGGTGACAGTAATTTTTACAGTCATTGGGTCCAAAAGTTTTTACAGTGCCCGAGATTCCTCCCTAACGATTCAATCATGCCGGATGGGATAGTTCCAGAACCTGACAAAGGCAGGGGAATACGGGCAGTTTCCCGGGCCCCACGTCAGAGGTGGCCCCACATCGAATAGAAAGTCTATCTTAAGTTTCCCTCATGAATGCTTTAAACAAAACATCAGTACAGTGTAAAATCCGTCAGTTTTATGTCAGCTTCTTCACTAATCTATCGTATGAACACAAAAAATCTACATTTTATAAATCCATGGCTTTCTAGGGTGGAATTCAGCTAAATTTTCGCAATGACGATGGACGCATTGGGCCAATCAAAATCCTGTATTTTTTACATATAGCAGCAATATGCGATATGTTTACGGGGTTCTAATTGGATTAAGTGAGTCATCGTCATTCCGGAAATTTAGCTGAATTCCGCTTTAATGTCAGCAAGGACATGAATTTTTTGCAGCTAGATGACATAGTTAACAATCAAGAAAACTGCATTCTGCAGAATGGACATAGAATTGTCAGAAAATCAATAAAATGGACAGAATGAAATTTCATCTGACCATTGGAGATAGGAGAGACTTTATGGCTATTTTAGGTTCTAGACAATCTTCTTGTTATCTATGTATAATAAGGTGAAAAATTTAATGACCTCCATAAAGTTCATTACTGAAACAGTGAAGCAGAGGCGGGCCCCCAAAGAAGTTTTTGCCCCCATTAGGCTATCGTTGACTCGTTTCGGCGTTTTCGATAAAATTTAGAATCCTATTTGTTTTGACAAAACGGACTTTAAATGAAACACTATGTTTTCAAAAACAATAGAGTCTTTTATTTGCTATTAAAACTTCACGATGACTGACAGTCAATAAGTGGCATGTAATAATTCCCATTCAATAGAACTAAATTCCTGTCCAAGTGTAAAAGGAAAGTCAAAAGTCTTCAAGTGAAAAAGCAAGCTATTTTAATTAATTAAGAAAAAAAAACTTGCCTACAAATAGATGAATACAATTTAACAGATGTCACTTCGCGATTCACAAGTTTTAATTACCATTTCCCCTCTAATTTAATTCATTATCGATTCACTTTTAGTTTTGCATTCGCTTTTGCATGTCAAGTTTTCAAATAAGCATAACAACGAAGTGACAGGGTTTTATCCTAATAAACTAGTCATAAAATTGCTTCTTAATTATAGATTGAAGAGGGAGTCCAGACACGAAATTCCCTAAGTTTCGTAATTAAAATATTCTCTTTCTCCTCTCTTTGCATAGCCTCAAGTCTTATCGATGAAGTGTTTCACATTTTATTGAAATTCGCTGTCATTAAAAGAGTTTTTTGGCTGTAGAAAATTCTCATTGAATGAAACGTCAATTTTAAGAGTTATTTCTATAATAACTAATTTATCCTTATTTACAGGCCATTCATCCCTTCTGTATTACAAATCCTTCAGTTCGGTAGAATTCATTAAAACGAAATTCGACTGAAAGTTAAAATTTTCTGTTAAAAAATAAAAAAAAGGACGATAAAAATGATTATCATTTGAAAAGAAAAAGAAGTTTTAGCATTAAAGTTTAATAAAGTTAAATGTTTTGAAATCCAAATTCTTTTTTTGGTAAGTATATTTATGTTTAAAAAAAACACGGTTTTTAAATAGTGTTGGCGAGCAACTCGACGTGGAGTGATGCAAGAAATATTCGCAATTTGTACCAAAAAAATACGTCGTGCAAATGAGCCATTATAGAAGACGAAAGTTCAAAGGGTAACAATGAATCACATCAATAAAATGTCACATTTTCTATATTACGCATGAACTTTATGACACCTGAAAGTGTTTATAAACTACAGAATACCTGGAACTCATAGAATATGTAAAATTGAATTTACCTATTCAATATAATGAATAATTGAAACATTTTTATTAAAAAAATTGCTTAGAATTATTAAGAGGAAATTTAATTTCATTCAATTTTATTTCAAAGAAAAAGAGAGAGAAAGGTTAAATTTTAAAAGAATTGTTTAACTTTTGTAAAATGTTTTTGTGATGCTGAAATGATTTCAAAACTTTTTAAATTTATTTTGCTACTTTAGAAAGACTTAGGATTCCAGAAATGAACATACTATCTTAAAGTATTATTATCGCTGTATAATAATTACAGACATAAAATCATGCAAAGTAAAACATTTTCCATTACATTTTGTTTTATGTGTAAATTAAGAAAAATAATTTTTCAAGAAACAAATAATGACACATAATTTTTTTTAATAAATATGGACTTTAAATATCTACAGATAATATTAAAATAATTTTATAATCATAAACCTGCTAAATTAAGTTTACCAAATGTTTTTAAACAAAATTTATGATTCCAAAACTAATAACAATATCGTAAAATGTTAATGTAATAATATCTACAGATACTACTAAAATAATTTTACAATAATAAACCTGTTAGATTAAGTTTACCAAATGTTTTTAAGCAACAGTTATGATTCCAAAACTTATAATAATATCGTAAAATGTTATTAATATCAAATTATTATTATTTTGCTCAGAAAATCATGCAAAGAAATATAAGTTTGACTCTTTTAAATCCTTTTTCGATGTAAAGGAGGCAAAATATTTTCCTTTTAAAAATGAAGTACTTTTAAAGTTGAATGAATAAATAAGAAATGAATAATAAAGTTTTTTTAATTAAATATACACTTTAAATATCAACAAATGCAATTTAATAATTTTATGAAATTTTTTAAGCCAGTTTGATTTATTTTACCCAATGATTTTAAACAAAAATTGAATACCATCATTAAAAATTAGTAGGAAAATATTATTATTAATAAATAACAATTGCAATACAATAATTCAATACAATATTATTTCACTTTTAAGTTGTTGTTTTTTATTTCTCTTTTAGGTAAATTTCGAAAAAGAAAAAATTGATTCTAAAAAATAATGTGTGTATATATCACCTTTAAATAATAAAAAATGAGTGTATATATCACCTTTGTTTAAAAATAATTGTGAATTTTACATTTTATGAAATAATTGAAAAATTGTAGAGAATTTATTATCCAAATAAGGAAATGCATTACCTGAAATAAGGGTGATGAAAAAATGAGGGGAAAATGTGCATAGAGAGCGAGAGCTATAGGGATTATCATGTTTTGACTGTTCTGCAAAAGTGCGGCGATGTGAGGTGAAGTACTCCAAACACTCACTTTTAATAAAACTAATTCTGAGGGTGAGAGGGCGCTCCATGCACATTTCACTCAGAAAATTTAGTCAGTTACTAAAATGTCCTTTATAAAGGTGTCATTACAATTTCAGTATTATTTTTTCTTTATTCGAAGAAATAACGTATCTTATATTATTAGAGTTGAATAACAAAATACAATTTATTTTATTTTAAATATTTTTTTGGCAGTGAAACCCCGCTATAGTGAACCTTCAAAGGAGCGAAATTTCGGTTCAATATAACCGGGAGTTCACTATATCCGTATTGCAAAGAATTTTAACTCATTTTTCTGATTTCATAATTTCTGCAATATTTTTCTTTTTTCAAATAATCTGAAAAGCAGGTTGTATTTATGAATCACAACCCACAATGGTTTGGCCGTACAACCCTATAATGATATTATAATAAATCTTTCCAATTTGACCATACAAATCTGAACACGTGCCATTTAATGACTATGCACCACTTCCAATAGCTTTTGAGAACGTTGTCAAAAAATTTTCAATATTCTAAGAGGTGTGGTTTAGAAATGATGCCTAGATAGTGTGAAACGACCCTGATTTGCACAATTTCGTTGGTGTTATACGCCACAATGGATGAAGCTTGGATCTTTGAATGGAACAGAGTTCCCTCAGTTTTTCTGTTACCTCGAAACAGTTTTGAGGTATTTAAACTCAGCTCTACACCAGTTGCGCTGTCATCTTCCTTCAGCAGATAGCCATCTCATTGAAACTAAATTCATTCGGGAGAATAATTACAGAGAGAGCATTTATTTCTGCTTTCGAAGACCAGCAAATGTTTATTACAAAATTCTAAACAATTTCATATCATTTTACCTTTTTGAAATTTCCGTATCCAAATTAAATTGAATATGGCACGTTTTGTGATCATTCAGTGTACAAATTCGTGTAACAGGAGTAGTCTTAAATGTTGAATAGTTTGTCTTCTACGTCATTACTTGAACAAAACAATCAAGTAAACAAACCGGTCTAAATTTGCATTCGCTTTTGAGTTCAAAGAAATTTTTAAAAAATATGTTTCACAACTATTTTCTCAATTATTTCTAAAATGTCAAAAACTTCATAAAATATATTTTTTTTCTTGCATGAAAATCTGCCGAATCATTCGGGTGGAAATTTGTTATCATTTTAAATTTTCCAATAAACCGTGTTTTCTTTCTCTGGGTAAATATTAAGATGAGGCTTCCGTATTACCGACAGCTTATTTAAATCCGAATAAACATTTATCACCTCTAATTTACAACGGATATAAGCCTAAATTGAGCAAATGTTTATAAACCTAAATTGAACACACATGCCTGAAAATGTATGTAATTTCTATAGAGCAATAAAGTGCCGTAGTGTGTAAGGGTGAATCTGTCGTTAAATGATCTGAAGCGTGGAGAGTTCGAATCCTGTCGTAACCCTATCACCGTGCTTTCCTTTCTTCCATTTGAGGTGGGTCATTGCTTACAGCACGCACACGTTCGAATAAGTAAATAAAAAGATTGCATGGGGTCAAGAGGTCGGGATAGCTTGACTGGTAGGGCACGTGCCTGAGAGGTCGTGGGTTTTATTTCCACCGAACGAAGACCCCATGAGTCACTGGTGCATGCCAAGCCTGTAGGGGTAACAAAGTCCTCCAAGTTCCCATAACAGATCATTACCATTGGGAGTATTGGACCCGATATTGAATGTGCTCTTGTTCAGGTTAAAATTGTAATCTGCTGATGGATGGATGATGTGCGCCTTCCCTGTAAATGTAAATGGGATATGACGTATGTATGTTGTATCTGGATCATTCTCAGGGATGTTTCCCAAACCGTCCCCAATAGCCTGTTGAGCAGCTCTAGTGCTACTTAAAAAAAGACAAGTAACAGTGCCAGTTATGTGGTTAGATGAACCGGAGTCTTTGATTTTTGCTATAAATTTGCAGCATGGAAGTATCGAGGATTTTAATCCAATCATATTATTAGATGCTTCCCATAGTGATGTTCATCTGTAACTTCCGTTTATTGCATATTGACACGAACTTCAAAGCAGTGAGCGCATAAGGCTTATGTATGCCTCGAATAAGAAACGAGTAAAAGTTTTGATACGATTACGTCTCAGTGTAAAGAATGGCTAGGTTAGGTGACTAGTGGTAACGCTTACTTAGAACTACACTGTCCCGCAGTGGACTAAACTGAAGACACGGTTCCCTGCAAAACGACAAAGTCAAGTTCCCCTGAGTGGGATCAGTATGCGAGTGGGTGACCACTTTGATCAGCCTGCTTAGGGTCTGAGGGTTCGCGGTATCGGTCCTCGCTAAACTGTTCCACCATAAAGTGCTTGACTTCGCTCGCAAGTTGTCTGACTACCAAAGCAAGGAAGTCATCCCCTCTGCAGAGGATCAAAATTGAGATGGCATGTCTTCGGACCATCCTCAGTGATTTTTCTCAGACTCTCGCCAATGGCCCATTGTGCATATTTGGTGGGACGCAAATGAAGTAAATACCAACCTGACCAGGGAACACTTCCTCCGATTGTGTTTTAACGCTTTCGGTGGTAACTGCAATTTAATGTCACCCGTTATTTCAGGACTGGAAACGCTGTAGAGAAGCGTGCTATGAAAAATGGGTTATTATCAGGGCTATCATATCTTGTGTAATCATCACGGCAAGGAATTATCCTTTTCACTAATGAATCCGGAACTATTGTTAATAATCCATTGTATTTTATTTTATAACCTTCGTTAAGCAGGCGAAGCAATTTTTTAGATTTACTAATTTTCAACTCCATGTTCTAGTAATTTTTAACCAAACCCAGAAGACAATAGAACTCTTGGATCAAGCATTGGAGAAAATTTGCCTTCGTGGAGGACGTTTTTATGAAACTAACCAGCATTTGAATGGAGAAGAAAACCACAAAATCCACTCTCGGTTAGCCTGATTGTAAGGGGACTCTAACCCATAATCCGTCTACCCCTGAGGATACATTGACGACTACTTTGGTCCATGCAATAGCATCGTTGAGCGCATCGACCAGCCATCGTTGGGACATGAACCAGGTTCTCCTCATTGGAAGGCGAATCCCCTGAGTCACCATGGCTCTATTGCACTGATTCATATTAAATTAAATCTATTATTGTCAACGTGTTCAAACATGACCCCATACGAAGAAGATCACTCAGCCTGGCATTTTAACCACCACTAAAAACCCGTAAAGCTAGAGTGTATAAAAAATCAAGGGATAAAGAATGATAACCGTAATAGAGATGGTAGCAAGTTTGTGCCCTGAAGTCACTGAATAATATCAGACATTACGATCAAGAAGCATAAAAATCGTTGATGAATCAAAACATTCTGTAGCTTGGAGGTAGCAGATTCAAATTCTAAATTGTGCTCTCTGTTTTTCTACCTAACAAAGGCTTATAAGATGTGCACATATGTTTCTTTTTTTCCTTTAACAGCAAGCACAAAACTTATTGTCATGGAAGGTGACGGAAGTGTTGCTTATTTTGCGACCAAAGTCAATGAGGAGATTACCCATGCTACCCTGGCGCGTTCATAGGGTGGGCCACATTCACACATCATCCAAAACAGAGTACAGCACACAGAGAAACATCCATGACCTGAACGGGATTCGAACCCGCAGCCTTTGGTGTCGCCGTTAGGTACGCTGACCGCTCAGGCACCTGGCCGGAACCTGCCTGCGCATACGTATACAAGTAAATAAAATAAATGCCTGTTTAAGAAAATGAACATATCTCGAACAGCGTGTTTAATAAAATGAACAAAGCTCAAAATAAAAATGATTCTCGTAACTCAAGAAGTGAAAGTAAATGTGTTTGAGCTCAAAATGTGCATTTAAAATGCATGTTTAAGTAAACGGACCTAGAATTGGATTCTGTTTGTAAAACTACTCCTACAAGCATTGTTTAAAAGAATTAACCAACGAATCAAAATAAATTCTTGATGCATAAGTCATTTTATTACGCATTTTGCTATATATTCATTTTGTAAAACACGTATTTTCCATTCCATTTTTTTTTTTATTTTTGAATTCTCATTTTGAGTTCTATCTGTTTTCTTAAATTCGTATTCCAAGCCATACCCATTTTCTTTAATGCAAATTTAAAGCTATGTTCAAAATTGAAAGCTCGTTGATGAAACACTTACAGCTAGATGCTTCACATGCACCTTTAGAACTTTAAAAGGAAAGAGATAAATCTATTTCATTATTTTTTTAAAAATATTCTTTTGTTGTTCTAATCTTTTAGCATGTATTTACCCTGTATTTTCTCCACGCTTTAGAAAATAAATCTTAATTGTTAGAGGATTATTTGTCCGTGTTCTCCATTTAGTGTTGTAGCGTAACTACCACTACAATTATTAAACATCAATTCGCTAATATATAAGAGAAGTTACCTCCGTTCATTTCGGGGTACCGTCCCGTAGTAGAATGATCGTAAAGACACGGTTCCCAGAAGGACACCGAAGTCAGCATTATTGGCTGCGGTCAGTAAGCGGGTGGGTGACCACTCCAATCAACCAGCGTAGGGACGGAGGGTGCGCGATATCGTAAAATTCTCGACTTCACTCGCCGGTCTACCAAAGCAAGAGGATAAAAAGTGCGATGGCATGTCTCCGAATCATACTCAGGGATGTTTCTCACACCGTCGCCATTTTTACCCTCCTTAACTTCCTGCACTTTTTTACTCTCCTTTTTTAATGTATCGTTTGCTGACGAATGCGAACCAGCTGATATGAAATTATACGGCAAAATTTAAGGAAACAAAGCCTTTTTTTATTATTTATTTTCTTCCCTAATAAAATCCCAAACTTTGTAATCCTGTTTTTAATTTGCACTTTCAAAACAATATCAAGTGTTCAGAAGATTTTGTTGAATTCTCATACTCAAAATTAAAAAGGATTCGATTCTTGTACATATGTGTTAAAAAAAATGGAAACCCCTGAATAACTTTTGATCTAGTAATGAGTAGTCAATTTTTAAT